TTTCTGGAGGTCTCATGTTTTGTAGCGCTGTGGTTCTTGTTGTACTTGAGTTTATGATTGATGCACTCTGTTCAGTGTAGCCTGTGTAGTATTTATTCTTGGAGTCATTTCCTGTTTTATTTTGGTAGTTGGCTTTCTTCTGTCTTGTGCTTAGTTTTACTTCCTCCCCCGTCTGTCGCCCTCCTGATCACCCCAGGTGTATAAATAGTCCTTCCCTCAGTCTTTGGTTCAGTTTGTTGCCTTCGTTGGACTGTTATTAGGCCGGGCCGTTAACCAGATTAACCAGTCAGGAGCAGATTATAGAGCAGAGATGGTGGTTTCGCAGCACAGCGACCCCTGAAAGCTGAGCTGAGAACGGTCACAGACAACAACAATAAAGAAACAAAAATAGTTTTGAGTTCAGTTTAAGTCCAGAGTCTTTGTGTCCGTCCCTCTCGTCTTATGCACATAGAACAAATGTCTGAAGGTTGACGTAAGCATGAAGGTGGTGCTGCTGTTCAGATGAAGCTGACCTCAGACGTTTGCTTCTGTCTGCTCTCAGAACTGAAGCCACAGTAGACGCCAGAATGAAGCTTTGAATCCTCAGAGTTAAACCAGCAGCATCGTTTCGCTTAGATTAATCAAAAACAGCTATTTACTAGAAATGAAACCTTCAGAGCTCACCAGGGGCCGCAGGCCACGCTTTGTGAACCACTGATGTGAAAAACATTAAATATGATATTTCAGTCATTACAAAACATGTATTATAGTATTTAATTAATAGCTGCAGTATTTATTGTGTATTAAACTATTTTATTGTCTACAGAGAACATTTAATATCTATTCTGTGTACATTTGTAATATTTTATGCGTAATTATGGTTTATTTATAGTATTTTCTTGCATCTTTCAGTGTTTCTGCAGCTGAGCAGGCAGAGCTGAGCTGCAGTCACTACTTTCATGGTTAAGTTACTAAACTTCCGCCTCACAGACAGCAGGATGACTACGAGGGGGAAGTTTTCCCCCACAGCACAGCTGAGTCTGTTCAGCTGCAGTTCATCGATCAGCCACACGGTGGAGGCAACGAGCATTAAACAGGAGTGAGAAACACAAGAAGAAGAACTCACAGTGAGGAAAAAAAGGTGAGTTCCAACCGACCATTAAAACAATTAAATTTGCAGACTCATTTGTACTGTTGAAAGTGATTATTTAACACATCAAGCCTTAAATAAAGGATTGTTTAAGGCTTCCAAGCTTGAGGTCCATACGGTACATCTCAAGGAATCAATTTTCTCACTTAACGAGATTATAAAAGATGCCAGAACTGAATATTTTGCTTATCTAACAGCTTCAAAAAAGAAAAATCCCAGAGTATTGTTTGATACAATTAAAAACATTGTCTCTCGTGATATTCCTCATGTACCAGTCTATACTAAATCTCATTGTAATGACTTTATTTTAATTGAATTGATTGATTTACCTTTATTAGTCCCACAAGGGGAAATTTCATAAGGCTGCCGACCTATTGCACGCAATGGCGGCGCCATCTTACCCTCCGACCACACATACATGACACAAAACATCACATGGGGAAGACAGGTCAGAGAGGTATAACAATGGAAAATGCACCACATGAGGAAAGATAAGGAGAAAAAAATAACTCCCCCAGACTGAGCTCCAACAGGGAGATCAGTTTGAGAACAGAAAAAAACACCTCTGCACATGAAACACCTATCAATACACAGTGTTGGGGAGTAACGGAATACATGTACCGCCGTTACGTATTTAAAATACAAAATATGAGTAACTGTATTCCGTTACAGTTACCGTTTAAAAAGGTGGTATTCAGAATACAGTTACTTTGTTGAAATAAATGGATTACACGGCGGTACTTTCCTGTTTCATTTTGTCGCGGGTCAGGACTGTTTGGGTTTTGTTTGACAGCTACGTTCTGTTGTTCCAGGCGGCAGCAGCGTTACGGTTGCCATGGTTACAGGGCGACGCTCTCTCTCTCTCTGCGACTGTGTGTTTCCTGGGTGAGAGAGGCCTTTTCGTTGTTGTTGTTGTTGTTGTGCTAAGCTAACAGGCAGAATGCTACAAGCATAGCTCTAAAGAATGTAGCATCATGGGCAGTGTAGTCCGTGTTGCAGGGAGAATGGACTGCCATACACGTTATGTGTCTGTGAGCGCGAGGAGGGAGAAAAAGGCGAGTGGAAAGGTACGAGTTGACATCGAGGAAAAACGGGAGCTGGAAGCATGTAAATATAATAATAACCACTGCAGCCAAGAAGAGTGCCTGACGAGCCCAGTTGTAAGTAAGCTATTAAGACTCGACTGTACACCGTGTTCCTGTTTTCCTCTGAAACAATAAGTTCCGTTGGAGTCTTTCAACGCCTCGCTCTGTCTCTGCTAGCAAAGTTGACCCACACAACAAAGTAAAGCTATTTTTCGGCTACGAGCCGACAGGGACCCCGCCGTATTAGTCAGAGGTCCCTTTACTAAAGTTCGGAGTCGCGGACCTTCAGTAATAGTAATAAATCACACAGCAATAGTACATTCACGTTGTTGTAAAAAGCATGATAATATATTAAGTAATCCAAAGTATTCAGAATACGTTACTGTCATTGAGTAACGTAACGGAATACGTTACAGAATACATTTTGGGGCATGTAATCTGTAATCTGTAATGGAATACATTTTAAAAGTAACCTTCCCAACACTGTCAATACACCAAAGAAACACATGACAAGCAACAGGGGGGGTAAAGGGTGAGAGACAGCCGATTTAGACAGCACATCCGGGCCTGCGTGCGCTGGTCTCCTTGATCCACCGTCAGCATCGGAGGGGAATAAGTGTCGAAGGCGTTTGGAAAGGGAGGGGGGATGAGTGCATATCAGTGTATATGTATGTGTGTGTGTCCAGAGTTCAGCTGAGACAGTGTCCTTCGCCCTGCCAGGCTAAGTAAACAGTCTGCCAGCCAACCCAGGTGGCCTTGCATGGAATGGGGGGAACAGACTCAACACAGTCGTTATCAGGGTGTTGTTGTTCGGCTCCAGCCTTGAGCCCACAGCTGGTGCCGAGAGGGTCTCCGCATGAAGTGATGGTGCTTTTTACTTTAGTGCGAACAACTCATATGAATTTCAAAGCAGTTCTACAGTCCAACACTGGTCTCTCAATCTCCCGTTGGAGAGCCGCGAGCTTCACCATACTTGCGTTCTGTGATGTTGTCATTTCTTGTGCTCAAGGAGCCGATTTCTGAGAACTCACGACCGCAGTGAGCCTCCCCGAGATGTATCCAGTCTGCAGTCAGAGATCTTATTCTGAGTGTTCACGGCAGCCGTAGCTTCTCCAAGATCTTCTCCGTGCTGACTCAATGAGCCCATTTTGAGAAACTCACGCCTCTCCCATCGTTTCAATCCCAGCGGGCAGCCTTGTGGGGGTTTGAACAGCCGGTTCCGCTTCCTTAATTCTTCGATAAGTCAGGGCCAAGCCAGCTCCGATCAGCCAGAACCCTGTTATCATGGTTCATAGGTAGATATCTTCAGGACTCAGGCTCACCCGAGCCCAGACTTCTTGTTGAGAAAGGGGTGTCAATTGCATTCAGAGACCAGTTGATCAAATCCATAATTCCTCTTTTAGGTTCTAGAGAACAGACTGTGAGAGAGTGTTCCAGGGAAAGTAAAAACACAAGACAAGGACATAAGCAGGGAAGCTAAGGGAGAGGAGGAGGAGAAAAGTGCGACCGCCTTCATCAAGAGCAAGAGCAGTGTTCTTAAACTATTCTGTTAATAAGGTCGCTGCCGTCAGGTCTAATATTTCTCCATCCTCCTCCCAGTATCACACTGACACGTTGCTGATACCTGCTCCTCTGTTACTCCTGTCACCTTACAGGACGTCAGTGTCTGCTTGGTCAGATGAAACTGACTTCAAGCCACCTCGATGTACTTCATCATTTTTCATTAGTGTGTTTGACTCTATTGGCCTCTGTATTCTGGAAATAATGAATACTTCTCTTCATACTGGCTCAGTTTCCAGCTATTGTAATCAAACTCTTGTTGAACCAATATTAAAGAAACCAAATGTGGACCCATCTCTTTACAGTTACAGGCCAATATCAAAGTGACTGTTGGTGTCAAAGATCTTGGAAAAAACAGCTGCAGAACAACTTAACAACTTTTTGGAGAAGAACAATGTTCTGGACATTTGCACTCCACTGAAACCGCTTTGCTTAAAGCGTGTGGGGACACTCTGATGGCAGCAGACTCTGGAGAGTACACCGTTCTGGTTCTGTTGATCACAGCATCCTGATAAATAGGCTGAAGGACTTGTTTGGGATTACTGGTGTTGTTTAAAATGGTTTATGTTGCATCTATCTGAGAGATCCTTTACTGTCTGTATGAATCAGGTGCTGTCGGAAGCATCAGTTCTGCCTTCTGGGGCACCTCAAGGATCTGTTTTAGGTCCGATTCTCTTTTTGCTGTATATCCTCCCTCTAGGCCACATTATCAGACGTTACAATAATGACCCGTACTGGGTTTAAAACACGTGGGGATCGAGCTTTTCTGTCTAGACTCTGCTGACTCCTTTAAAAAGCAGCTGAAGACATTTTTATACAAACGGGCTTTTAATTAATTTTAACTTGTATGTCTGATCTTATTGTGAAGCACTTTGTGATTTCTATCTGTGAAATGTGCCATATAAATACATTTTACTTACTTACATCACTGAAGCTTAATTAAAAGTAGCCCCTCCCACTGTCAGCGATGTCACAGAGGAGACACACACGAGAAATGTTTTCCATATTTAGAAAGCCATGTTTACGTCGCTCTGATGTCCTAAACTCAGAGCTGAGGCACCTTCAACAAGCTGCTGCAGAAAACTGACCATCAGACTTACATCACGAGGAGCTCCGCCCATCTGTGACGTGCTTCGTCTGATTGGCTCCAGCGAGGAGCTTCAGAGATCAGGACGCGACTCGCCGTGTGAGGACAGACTGAAATAGCCAAATCTGAACAATTTCACTCATTTTTCATGCTTTTATTGTTTAAACAACAACAGGAAACATATTGATCAATAAGAAAACAGATGATTGGTGCCGTGTGACAAGCACGTCACATGACCTTATGTGTGTTTGTCACAATAAAAATCTGACGAACGTCTTCAGTTTGACGGCTTCAGGTCACGTGTCAGACAGGACGTGTTGTCACGAGTCCCTCGCTTGTCACATGACAAGACATCAAACGAAACTTTAAAACTTTACAGGGAACTTTCGTGGGTGTCTAAAGGGGCGGGGTCACCTGTGTCACTGTGGATTCTTATAGGTTAACTCTGAAAAAACAACCTATCAGAATAAAAGCTCGCTACATCTGTAGGCAGCAACTACACCTGCTGCACACCCGGAGCTCTGTGATTGGAGCCTTTCAAAGCAAAGTGTCCAATCAGAGATACGCTCCTGCTTCCTGTTATCATCCCGCCTCCAGGCGGGTGGGTGGGACCTCAGGGGCAGTACTCATAGTCTCCCCCATCTTCTCCTCTACCTCCATCACAGCCGCCGCCATCGCTACTGCCACCATCGCTACTGCCACCATCGCCGCCATCGCCGCCATCACCGTCGCTCTCCATCTGGTAGATGTTGTCCACGGTGGAGCTCTGCAGCTGCAGAGTGGACGCCGTGGAGCTGAACTGGACCTGCTGACCCGGGCCGACCTTCTCCTGAGGGCTGAGACAGGAGAGCATCAGTTTCATCATCACAGCGACTTCCTGTGGACAGTGAAAGACTTCCTGTAGAGAAGCTCCAGCTTCTCATTAGACATGTCAGCTTTAAAACCTTTGAGATGAATTTGAATAAAAAACGATGACTGATCTTAAAGTAACCATGGCAGCCGATCGACTGTGTCGGACACGTTTGATCATAAACTGGTGACCTGACACTGTCGCCGATGATCGTTTATATTTCTGCTGCGTGGATCCGTTTCCTGCTTCATCACGAGTTTGATTTTCCAAAGTAAAAGCCTCAAACTTTAAAAACGAGTCCCAGCAGACTCTGAAAGGTCACAGAGTCTGCTGGTTACGCCGTGCTTCAGGCTGAGTGGTCATGTGACCCTCTAATTCAGGCTGTGACATTTCAGCGCAGGGCGCTCGGCCGGGCGAGGATGAGGAGGAGGCAGGGTGTAAACCTCAGAGCTTCCTCTCCTCGCTCGCAGCTTCTGGTAAGCCGAGCAGCAGGGAACCGAAACTCTTGCGGTTGGTGGGTGGAGTCTGCAGCGGGCTCACGGGTGGAGCTCCTGATGCTGGTCGTACGTCACCCGGACCCCAGGAGATGTGAAGAGCGTTGCTATGGAAACAATGATGATCTCAGGTGTTCTGCAGATGTGCCGCAGCTGTGCGCTGCACCTGCCTCACTTAGACGTATTTAAAGTTTATTCAAAGTTTTTATGGCTGCACGACCACAACCTCAACTTCCTGTTTCCTGTCGTCTGGTCACCGTTCATGACTGTCACACGTGCATAAAACATCCTCGAGTTCCTCTTTCTGCTGCGACCCTGCGACTGCGCTGGAACATGGCTGCCAGCCCGCTGCACACAGCCTCGGCCGTGACGCTCCGCCTTTCTGCTCCGGCGCTGTGACAGCAGCGTGGACACATCTGGGCCCGTGGGCCTGCGTGCTGGGCTTTAACGATCAGGCTGCTTCGTTCTCGCTCAGCATCTCAACGCCACCTGAAACCTCCTGCTCAGCTCGCCTTCGTTTGAAATCGCCCGCGTGGTTTGTGGGTTTCTTTATCTGTGAGTTTCAGTCTGAGCGCGCTCAGTCGTGAGAAGACGCTGCCAAGATGATCGCAGCGCGCCGAAGGCCCGCGAGCCGAGACCCCACGAAGGTCAAACCTGACTCAGGGTTCATCAGCGGCGATCGAGGCGCTCAGACACGGCGTTTATTCAGAAAACAGGAAGTTCACTCACGTGCTGACGAGCTGCTTCAGTCTTCTCACTGCAGAGACACAAACGACGTGATGAGCAGCTCGCCGTGCGTCACAGAGTAAAACACAGTTCAAACTAATAAATGTTTCCTGCATCACTGAGGGCGGGATTAAGAACCCGCTGCCACACCGACCATGGTCGCCGTCCTCGATGTTTCGAGGCCGTGAGAACAGACGGGTTCATTCTCGTACTCACCGGCGACGACGAGTCCACCGAGCGTGAGCAGAAACACGAAGACCAGCAGGACGGCGATCAGAGGCGCCATCGTCTGCGAACCCTGAAAAACACGACATCACCGTCACAGCGAGGCCCGCGGTCTGCTCAAACACTGACACTTTATTAGGAACAGCCAATCACTGCTCAGACTGATGTTCAAAACCTACAAAGAAACTGTCAGAGCGAGACATCAAGTCATAATCTGACTTCATCATCTTCATCATCATCAGGGTCTATAAACAGTCTGGTTTTACTTCCTGTTTAACTTATCTGCTGATATCGATCCACCAATCACAGCGAGGGTGCACTGTGCAGTCCTTTTATGACCGAGTCTGGTCAAATAATATTTTCATTGCTCAGAACATCAGTGTGGCGCTCGTGCTGAGCTTCGTCTTCGTGTGGCGGTGGCGTCACACGTCTCACGTTTCACAGCGTTCGTTCGTTTTCTCACCTCGTGGCTGCGCTTCACCCCGGAGGAGGCCGTCAGGGGGCTTTCTGTGGAGGTCACATGACCTGCGGGACGTGAAAGCAGACATTTTTAGGACAGCGTGTCAGCAGCAGGATGATGTCATAGCGCTCTCATTTGACCCTGACACGTCTGACTGTACGAAACCCACGAGACACAAACACAGAGGTCGTCCACTGCGGCGTCGTCGATGTTCAAGTGTCCAATAAAGTTAACTGAAAACTTTACACCTGCACTTCCTCTGACTGACACAGACGCTGCTGGTCTCTGTAGGTCATCGTCACCTTCATCACCCGTTCACCTCAGAGCTCCTGACTGGATTATCTGAGTTCATTTGAATTTCTCCTTTTTCCTGCTTTCAGATTCTGTCGCTACATCAAACAGATTCACCGCAGCTCTGTCGTCACCTTCAGTCGGAGAGGACGACGTCGACTCTGTGGGCGTGTCTGTCGTGCGGGCCGTGGGAGCGTCTGAAACAGATCAATGACATGAACACAACGAGCATCAGAGCTGACTCCGAGTCTGATCAGCTGTGAATCAACATCTGGATCTCACAGATGTGTTTCTCTGGGCTGCTGTCAGCGACATGAGCGAGTCGTCCTCAGAGAGCCGCTGATGGTTCAGGACGATGATCCCGACACGTGAGCTCGGTCGAACCTGCAGACTCACCTGTGGCGATGCTCAGGTCATCAACAACGGTCAGGTCAAAGTGATGCTTCTCATCGTTGAACCAGCCGGGTATATGCACCCTGCAGCCGTATCGTCCAGCGTCTCCCTCTGTCAGGTTCATGATGGTCAGAGACACGTCTCCGTCCTCCAGTCGGCCCAGCAGCTCATACCTGCTGGAAGCTCTGGTTGACACTCTGAGTCCAACTGTGGAGATCAGCGGATTGGAGCAGCCTCTGGTTGGTATTTCTCCTCGCTGCCAGCACGCTGACAGAGCGGCGTGATATTTCCTGTCATATTTACAGGGCAGAGTGACGTCCTGACCTGTGTGACCTTTGACCTTGCTGTCACATTCACAGACTGGAAACAGAAACAGAGGAAAGCTTTGTTACATCAGATCCAAACTCTGCTCAGATCAGGTCAGACTATCGGAGAGGTCACCTCTGACCTGAACTCTGACCCTCGCTGACCTCAGCCTGTAAGCCTGCAGGAGGTCAGCGGGAACGAGCCCACGTTACAGCTGTTACAACACCAGCAGCTCGTCCTCAGACCTCTGCACGTCTCTACCACAGAGACTCAGCCCTGTCACGAGTAATAACCACAGCAGCTCCTCGTCTTTACTCGCTGCAGTCTGAACAAGACTCATCCTGCAAACTCAGGCTAAAGCTACAAAAGTGCAGAAGAAGAACGCAGCAGTGACATCAGAGCGGCTAAAGTTTCTGTGTTTACAGAGTTTCAGAGGAAGAGAGCCAGCAGTTACCTGAGAGCAGAGCGAGCAGCAGCCTGAGCTTCATGACGGAGCTGAATGCGCCTCAGAGCAGCTCCAACAGCTGCTGACAGCCACCACAGCTGCACGCTGCAAGAAATGAAGTGACGCGTAAAAACCAGCACCACACGCTGCTGCGGCAGGAGCATCACACACAGCAGGCAGGGACCAATCAGAGAGCAGCTCTCGGTTTACTGTGCTCAGTCAGACGAGTCTGTTTTTACTCTGATTACTTACACTACTTTGGCTTTTACAGATCATATGTGATGATTTATGATCACATGACTCTCGTTACTCGTGTTTATTTCATTGTTTTATAACCTGATGACGTTTTTATCTGCTGAACTAAAATAATAATTCTGGTTTATTCATCATCAATAACATGCAGCTCGTGTTCTCTCGTGACTCCTTCCTAAAAACCTTCACCTTTTACAGATATGATGATTCCACGCGGTGGGCGGGGCTTGGAGGTAAACTGCGGCGGTTCAGCGACGACAGAGTTTAACCCACAGCTCAGTGTTTGCTCCCGCAGGTCTTTCATCACCGATCACGTTCATAGTGTTGAATATCACATTTCATATCAAATATAAAGCCCGAGTCATGTGACCTGTTATTGTAATGACAGAGAATTTGAAACATCCCAGTTTCCTTGAGAGTGATTTGTGTTCACACGGTAACAGGATCAGGACGACTACACACTGAGGCCACGTCCACACCGGCCGGATAGATCTGAAAACGGCGTCCACGCTAGCGTTTCCAGTCGTTTTCACAGAGCCGTGCGTCCACATTGAAACGGTCCAAAGCACAAACTCAAGTGAGAATTAAAGATTTGAAGGAAAGCTGTCTGCAGATCTGTAACAGGGCCGTCAAAGCTGAGAGCAAACAAAACAGCTGCTGTGTAGTGTCCTCCGCTTGATTTGGTCACGTGACTGCATCACATGACTAAAATGCATCATCGTTTTAGAAAGTCTGCGTGTTCGAGTGTCCACACTGCGACGACAGCTCCGTTTTGAAATGTACTCGTTTTCAAAACGCTGCGTTTCTCCTTGAGGAAAACGCCGTCTCAGTGTGGACGGGAGGCCAAACGTTGCGTTTTTAAACAGAAACGTGTTTCATTGTGGACGTAGCCTCAGCCACAGAGTCTGCAAACAGTCCAGAACTACTGGAGAGACACTTGTGGGAGGTTTAGTCCTAAAGAAGACGTCACTGAACCGTGGACAGGAACAAACTGAGAGGTCTCAGGTGAGCTGGACAGACGCCTGCAGCCAGACTGAAGGACGAGCAGGACAAAGGTCCTGCAGGCTGAAGCGTCCTTCGGCCAGACGAGCTGAGACGCTGCTCGTGGTTGGAGGAAGACGGCAGAGGCCACGCCCCCGCAGTGAAGCACGGTGGTGGCAGCATTCTGACTCATCGGGGTGTTTGTGCTTTCATGTCTGGTTTTAGCATCAGCACAGTGGAGCTACTGTGTACCAGAGATGCAGATCTAAGCCAGCACAGGCCACTGGTTCTCTTATTTTGAAAGGTCCTGATCCTGTGTTGTTCCTTGTGTCTGACTTCCTGCTGCTGGGTGGAGAAACCCCTGACAGATGTTTGTTTCACTGCCGTGCTTTGAATGGAACCAGTGATGTCGGCCATGACAGCATCACACAGTGTGTAAGAAACACCAGGATGTGACTGTGGGTGATGTAACCTGAGATCTGAGGGTCAGTTTCTCTAAACGTGAGATTTCAGTTTCCTGCGCTGACCCACATTTCTACACATGTGAGGGAGGGAACACCATCAGCATCCACCACAGAGCCGTTTGTTGTGTGGTTGGAGAGCAGTGGTCACCATGGTTTCCTGTTTGCAGCAGCTGATGGAGGCTGTTTCCTGTGACTACACCCTGGATGCTTTCACTTCCCTTTTTCACCTCTGACAGCCCGCTGTAAGAAATATCTGCAGCTGGACTCATGACACATATTTTAAAGAAAGATTTTTTCAGCCTCCAGAAATGAAAAAAGGAAATAATTTGCTTCATTTTTATGTTTCATTAAAATAAAACATTTTCCTGTGGGAGGTCGTAGCTAGGGGCGGGTTTTTATAATCGATTCATCGATTAAAATCGATTCTGGCTTGGATAACGTAAAATCGATTCATTAAAATCCTGAATCGATTTTTTAATATAAATTTATTTTGCCCGAAATGCCAGAATCTCTGGTGACATCTCACAAAATTTCAACAACCACCAAACAGCTAAGACAGTAAATGAGAGCAGGAACACGGATTCTGCACAAAGACTTAGACACACAGTGCGACCCACGGATCAGAATCAGTGAGATGTCGCCTTTCTCACAGTCGGGGCTGAAAGCCGACAGCTCGCTGATTCTGATCTGTCGGCGCTTTGTGTTCACGCCCTTTATGCGCTGATTCTAAAGCTGTTAGTTTGATCTCTCTCCAAACAATATTGACTGAACCAGCAGCAGAAGAAGATCCAAACTACGCTTCACATGAACATCGTCATGAATTCACTCTGACTTTCACTGTTTTGCTTCCACCGATGCACAGCTCTCTCTCTCCTCTCTCTCTCCTCCCTCTCTCCCCTCTCCCTCTCTCTCTCTCCCCCTCTCTCCTCTCTCCTCTCTCTCCTTCTCCTCTCGCTCTCTCTCTCTCTCTGTACTTCAAGAACAGTTTCCCTTTCTTCATTATTCGTTTGCTTGTTACGCACAAGTCCGGGACCAATAAAGTACACTTTCTTTCTTTTCTTTCTAAATGTACTGATCTGAATTATAATATTTCTGACTGTCAAAATTTCCCAGATTTAAATCGAATAGAATCGAATTAAATCGAATCGTGGATCGAATCGATTCGGGACCTTGTGAATCGGAATTAAATCGATTCTAGAAATCAGTGACGATACCCAGCCCTAGTCGTAGCGTCTCACACACTGCAGTACCACCTTTGACCACAGCAGGGAACCCCGGCGCTGTTGTTACGTTTCTCAGGTCCGCGCCGGGTTCACGTCTGGGTCTAAAATGTGTTCTGGTCACTGAGTTACGACGTGGATCTGACACAGAGGGATCATTCATGTGAGACGTGTCTGTCACTGATAAATTCCAACCTGCACAGCTGCCTGTCAGGGAATCGAACCCCCGTCTATACGTGACACACACGAGGTTTAGGGCTGGCCAATAACAGCAGGTCTGACTTGATCCAGCTTCATAAAGTCTGCGCTCAGCTTCGCAGCCTGATGCTCGTTTTTTTCCACTTGTTCCGTCACGTTACACAAAATGTGCTGCCTGAGAACGTCTGCCCCCGTCCCTTCTTCAGCCCGCAGGCCGTACGTTTGACATCTCTGCCCACCCGTCAATCTGAGTAACCCTCTTCACTCAGGCCACTCCCACACAGTCAGGGAATCGAACCCCCGTCTCCCACGTGACCGGCGGGAAGACTCATCACTAACGTTCCCTCTAAGCTGCGCGCAGTTGCAGTCACGTACTGTTGCACGGTCTCTGCGCACAAAAACCGAACCTGCATTGAAATTAAAATAAACACGTAAAAAGTCTGTTTTGCAGTGTGAGTCAGCGAGTGACCGGCTGCTCCAGCCAATCACGCGATTCACATTCGTATATACGCAGCTAATCCACGTCGTTGACGGGCTCTGACAGCGTCCTCATGTGCCGACGCCGGCGTTTTAGCAAAGCGGCTGATGTGGAGTGAAGCCACGTTAATGACAACGTTTTAGGAGTGACGGCGGTGTTACGATGTGCCGGGAGTCCGCTGTTCTCGACCTCGCTGTCTGCTGTGGAGCTGGCGGGTCACAGACATCTCTGAAAACATCGGAGCGCGTTTGGAAATATGTGATATCTTGATAAATCGAGCAGATATGTGAAGTTTACACAGCTACATTCTCGCTTGAAAATAACTTAAAAGCTTATTTTGTGACCCAGAAATATTTAAGAGTTTTTAGCCTCGCTCGTCCACCATTGCAGCGTTTGAGTTTTTGGATGAAATGCATTCTGGGATATTTAGCTGTACCAAGTCCACACAAGTCACCAGTAGGTGGCAGGTGAAGTGTCTTGCCCAAGGACACAACGACCCAGACTGTCCGAGCCGGGGCTCGAACAGACAACCTTCCGATTACAAGACGAACTCTCAACTCTTGAGCCACGACCGCCCACAGCAGCGGTGAGTGTTCCCACCTCCTGCTCTTTGTAACTTAACGCCATCTTTCCGTTTTTGAGTTTTGGACATGATTGTGGAGGATATCTTTGCAGCAAGTAAAGCTACCGGAAATGTACAACCCCACGCCCGGCCTCAAACCAGGAAGTTAGCATTTTCTCGTGCACAGGGTCTATTTATACATAAAGTTTCAGCTGCGCTCTGATCAGCTGATCTGAAAAAGACTCAAATGAAAACACTGAACATCTCCAATGAAATCTTAAATTTATCATTTTCAAATCATCCAGAAAAGAAATTGAAGAAGAAGATCCAGAGCGTCCACAACACAAAGACTGTCACAGTTTGTGGCATTCAGGTGTCACATAGTACAAGCTCCAAGCAGCTGTGATGGAGATGCCGCACTTCCTGAGACACAGTTTGATGCCCTGAACAATACACAAGCGAAGAAAGCCACGCCCCCCACCACCGACCAGACCATCTGTCTGCCTGCAGCGTGAGATCTCTCACTGCTGCTGGACCAGACAACATCCCAGGTCGCGTGCCGAGAGACCGCGCTGATCAGCTGGCCGATGTCTCCACAGACATTTTCAACTCATCACTGAGCCAGATGATCGTCCAGCGTGCTTCAAGTCCACCACCACAGTGCCAAAGACATCCTCAGGATCCTGCCTGAATGATTACCCGTCGCCCTGACCCCCATCATCATGAAGTGCTTCGACAGACTTGTCATGGCACATGTGAAGAGCGACCTGCTCCGCTCTGGACCCGCTGCAGTCTGCATACCAGCCCAACAGGTCGACGAGGATGCTGTTTCCACTGCACTTCACCTCCGCCTCAGTCCGTCCGAATCGTCAGGCTGAGCACAGGAGCTCCTCAGGGCTGTGTTCTCAGCCCTCTGTTGTTCACCCTCCTCGACTGCGCCGCCCTACACAGCTCCAGCCACATCAACAAGTTCGCTGGCGACACAGCCGTGGTTGGTCTCATCAGCAACAACGACGAGTCAGTGTACAGATGTGCGGTTCAGCAGCTGGCGCTCTGGTGCAGTGAAAACAACCTAACACTGAATGTGAACAAAAGCAAGGAGATGATCGTCGGCTTCAGGAAGACTCGCTCACACCGCTCAGCATCCACGGTTCCACGGTAGAGACTGTTAACAGCACTCACACGGACTCCTTTCCCTCCTCCCATCCAGGGGGCCCGATCATCCAGACTGCGAGACAGCTTTTTCCCACAAGCCATCAGCATCATGAACTCACCACCAGCTCTCCTGCTCCCCCACCACACACACACACACACACACACACACACACACACACACACACACACACACACACACAGACACACACACACACACACAGACACACACACACACACACACACACACACACACACACACACACACACACACACACACACACACACACACACACACCACACACACACACACCACACCACACACACACACACACACCACACACACACACCCACACCACACAGAACACAACACAAAGCCCACACACACTCCCACACACACACCCACACACACACACTCACACACACACACACACACTCACACACACACACACTCACACACACACACACACCACGAGCTACATCACATGCACACCACACCACCACTGCTTCTGTGAGACGAATGCTGCTCTGTGGACAGGCTGCTGCACTGGTCACTTTAAACCACTGTTAACTGTAAATGTTAAATTATAATTTCTCTCAGTCCTCTTAGTCTGAAGTGTATATTTATTTTCTTCTTTTATTTCTGTTTATTGTTGTTTTTTGTCCTGATGTAACCGGATACAGCAGAGATGACAATAAAGTTTGACTTGAAATGATAAAGAAATTATTAGTTGATGAGTTTGTGATCGATCGTTAAGTGCTGATTATTTTGACCTCATTCTGATTTCTGTGTGGTTTCACTTTTATGTTGTTTTATTATTCTTATAAAGTATAATGAACTCGTTTATTTTACTCTGTGAAGCCAATTTTATTCTAACACAGTTTTTCACTGACTTTTCTTTCAGTGATTAACTGTATGTTATTTTCTCCACCTGGTGTTTCTGTTTCTCCTGTCTAATGCTGGGCTACACTGCGCGATTTTTTTCAGTCGTGTTATTCAGCTTCTTGCTCCACAACCCCCCCCCCCCCCACACACACCAAACACCACAACAGCTTGCTAAATCGCTGATACATATCATTTCACGGTCGTTGTGGTCGTGATCATTTTGTGAGGCCACAAAAGTTGTGCCTCCGTCGCTTGTGTCCCGATCACAGGCTGCACCGCTGCTCCGTCTTTTTCGCTGACACTTGTGTTTGCGCGTGCGCAGTGTGAGAAGCTGCGCTGACACCCTCACGACGGTCGCGAGGATTTCAAATCAAGCCATTGATGATCGGGAGCTGGTCGTGAGGTGTTAATCGCGTCTCGTTACCCCACGTATACGACACGACGCACGATGAAGGCCAAAATCGGGCCGATCGCCAAAACGGTCGCACGACTCAAAACGGGCCAAACGTCGCACAGTGTCTGCCCAGCATTACGCGGAGCTTCCACAGTGTGTTTGTCCAATAAAAACAAGAGCCTGTTCTGGTCTGTATGTGTGAATCACGGAGGTGAAAAAGATTTTCTCCCCGTCGGGGAATCGAACCCCGGTCTCCCGCGTGACAGGCGGGGATACTCACCACTATACTAACGAGGAGTAATTCTTTTCCTAATCCTGCAGTACTCGTTTTATCCACAACGTGTCTTACCTGAAAGTGACCATGACATAACTACGATGGTCGGCCTGCCCCCTGCTGTCTGACAGCAGTACTACAGCTGATCACAGCAGGAGGGGACATTTCGACAGTTTAGAAATCGTTTCACTTATTAAGAAACCAAACAAACAAAAACAAAAAAGCAAACATGCAACCTCATAAAAAAATAACGGAAGTGAATAAAAACAATAAAACATGTAAAACTAACAGGTGTTTTCTGTACCTCGTGCCTGACGTGGACAGGTGTCTGCAGCCTGCATGGCCATGAGGCTGAGAGCTGTGCTGCTAACAGGCTCAAATAATATGAGATCAGAGCGTGGGGCAGACACCTCAAACACTCCACCCTCTCCGACTGACCCACAGCTGTCCTGCTGATGCTGACAATGGAGGCTCTCCTGCACACTCTGGTATTGGAGCTGCTGCTGTGACATGCTCCTCTCACAGGGAGCTGCTGCTCACTGGAGATTTCCTCATGTTGGACCATTCCCAGTAAACCCTGGAGCTGAAAACCCCAGCACAGCAGCCTGCGTGACGTCAACAAACCTGTTCAGCCATCTTTGTCCTGATGGTCGCTCTGAGCTCCACATGAGCTGCTGCTGCTGTGGGACAGGTGTACCTAATAAAGTGACAGCTCAGCGTGGTGAGACCTGAGCCAACGTTTTTACTGTTATCAGCAGCTTCCTTACAAAGTTCTACAAACTGTGTGAAGCACAAGAACAAGGAAACAGGCAGAGCAGCCACTTTATTGGGTACACCGTTAGTCCAAATATTTAATCAGCCAATCACAGGCCTGCTCTCAGCATTTAGGCGGGTAGACATGTGGAGATGACCTGCTGGAGCTCAGACCGAGCATGAGGCTAAAAGCTGACTGAACGTACGTTGTTGATGATGTCAGACAGGCAGAGTCAGTTACCTGAGTTACACTGAGTGACTTCTTCACTGTTTACATGAAAACTTTATTAAACACATTAAGCACAGTCTGACGATGGAGTTTATTAACAAACATCGCTCCTGTCACAGCTCACAGAGGACACGTGTCACTCAGGGGCGAGGGCGTCCACCTGTGACGTGAGTGACATCACTCCTGAGGTGAGTGCAGCAGATTTATTTTGCTTCTTGTGCAGAGAACGTTCGACTGAGGCTTTCCGAGATGTTCCAGATGGGAATTCAAACACTTTCATAATCAGGTCGGTGTCACACGGCGCTGCTCTCCTCCTCCTTCTCTGATTGGTCTGGCCTCCTCTTTGCTTCCTGTTTGGACCTCCAGACTCCTGCAGGAACACAAACACACTTCCTGTCACAGATCCAGGCTTTCTCTGAGTTCAACAAAAACTAAACCTCAGTCAGAGATAACGGGGTCAGGGGTCAGGGTGGTGGTTGTCAGCTTTCAGGCCCTGAATGAATGTGATTGGCTGAACAGGTGTGACAGTGTGTAAATGATCAACGATGAGCCCGAGCTGACCCAGTGTTAGTCTCAGCAGTTATGCAGATGGAGTGTTTATAATGTTGGAAACCTGCAGTCAGCTGAGACATGAACACAGAAGTGTCTATGCTCATGTCTCGACAAAGCAGCAGCTTTACAAGAGTCAATAATGGAGGTGAAGAACATCACGCCTCCCGGTCGGGGAATCGAACCCCGGTCTCCCGCGGGGATACTCATACTGTGCAGTACCAGCTGTGACCACTAAATGACTGCATGTATGTGGGTGGCGCTGTTTACCACTTCTCCACAGTGAAGGTTTATTGTGACCACAGCTGCAGTACCGCTTTCAACCACAACGTGAACGTATAGGAGAGTGGCGCTGTTTCACAGGTTCGACAAAAACGAAAAGAGAAAAACATCAAAAACTGTTTTTAAATGTGTGTGTGTGTGTGTGTGTGTGTGTGTGTGTGTGTGTGTGTGTGTGTGTGTGTGTGTGTGTGTGTGTGTACTGACTGTAAGCTGCGGTCAGCAGCAGAGCTGGGATGAAGACGAGGGAGGAAGCTCTCACTGTGTTTCCAACAAACGTCTGCAGAACGTTTACCTGCTGCTCAGCTGACTGTCAACAAACAAACAAATACAAATAAAAACAAACAAAGAAACACATAACACATCAACACATAA